TTAAGTCTTAACAACCTGAGAGGTCAGGTAAGCAGTTTTATTTGTGTTTTTTTGTCTGTTTGTTTTGTTTTTAAATCACATCATAAATTGGTGACTGTGGACTGAGCACAAGATAAACGCTTCTGGCTTTTTTCTTTTAAATAAGCATTTCATCTTGATTTTGCACTTGTTACTTGTGTACCTAATCACAATATTAGAATCACTGGCTACTCTTGTCCTGCTCTTTCTTTTAGCCTCTAGCAATTATTAAGTGCTTTGAAACATATGAAAAGATTTTCATCCTTAAAATGTGGTTTCAGGAACTACATACAGTGGTTTGACTCTTCTGAAACTCTGTGTAGGTTTAGTAGGTTTTAACCTTTAACAGGGTGAATGTTTTGGTCCCTCATTCCAAAGCTGACTTGGAATTGTCTGAAGACTTCCACCATTCAGAATAAATATTGATTCATTATAGGCAAAAGGAAGAATGATTATCAACCAGCAAATAATAGACAAGTTTCTATTTCAGTAATCTTTTTCTTCTGTTCTTTAAAATTAAACATTTATCTATCAGGGACTTGGCCTGTTAGGTGAAGGATTCAAGTTTTTGGACTTTATCTTTTGGGGGCTATTTTGAATTTGTTTTGGTTTTTATATATTTGGTTCTATTTGCAATTATGCAGTGTTACTGACTTGATAGATTGCAAAAAGCTGAATATGAACAAAATTGTAGTTTTGTGAATTTGAGTGGACTGCCATATAGCAAAAGAGTTTGAAGTTAAAATTTCCGGTGTCCAAATGGCCAAAAATTTTCTAGATCAGCATCTTTCCAAATGTGTTTTGTGAACCTCTAGGGGTATTGGGAGGAATAGAGAGGGAGGTGGGATTAGATAGGCAATAAGATAACCCAGTGACTAGGTGACAAGTAAGGCTCTGTCAAAGGGCAGAGCAAATGCCAACCCCCCTATTTTTATATCTGCTCCTTATGCTTAAAGTTGGACATAAGAACAGATATTGTGTTTAGTAGTCATCACTTCCCCTCCTATGTTTCTCTGGCAACTTCTACTTGGGAATAATGTTCTGAAAATGGAGAGTTGTTGCTTTTGGAACCAAACTGCCTAGGATTCTCAGCCCATCGTAGGGTCCTCTTAATTCATGGTAGTGCAGGTAGCTGATGGCAGGTTCTTTAAGATGACACAAGGGGAACTCTGTAGGGTAGAACACTGGGAGGTTGTAAGCATGAGTGTAATTATGACCCTAGACTGGATTAGCTGGGACAGATGAAAACAGAGCTACCCACCTTAAAGGAAGAGAGAAGATGATGTTAACTCTTTGTCCCTTGCCTGTTACTCATTTTCATTTCCTCTTCTACTCTTTGTCTATTTTTTCATCTTTTTTGTTTTTCTAGAAAGCCTTTCCTGTCTTTATTTCTCTTTTTTATATTTTTCCTCTTTTTCTTTTATTTTTTGCATTCTTATTTTATCCTGGTTCTGTCTTTTCTTCAATGTCTCATTGAAAATGATGGCTTTCTTATTAATCTTGGGGTGTTTGTGAGATAAAGTGAGAATAAGAAAACTACAAGACCTCTGAGATCCATAACTTTATTAGTGTGATCCCAGATCCTAAAAGAAACTTGAGGATTAATTTACTAGCTTACTGTTTTTTCTGAATGTTGAATTCCTTGACCTGCAAACACATATTTATTAGCCTGACTCAAACAATGAAGCTATTAAAACTTCGGAGGAACATTGTAAAACTCTCGTTATACCGACATTTCACCAACACGCTTATCTTGGCAGTGGCAGGTAAGTCTAGGACTTTCTTTCTGCAGTTTAAATGTGATCTGTTTAGAACAGAGATTCTTAACCTGAGAGGGCCATGGGTGGGCATAGAAAGTTTTGTGCATTTCACTTGGGAAAAGGGTTCTTAGCTTTTGTCAAATTCTCAGAAGGATCTATGGTTTAAAAAAAGTTACGAACCATTTATTTTATGTATAACAGCTGAAAAATCAACCTCATTTAATTTCACCTCTTAGTATGTTCCTCTCTTGTCTCCATTCTTTTTCTGAGGCATTCTTTTTCTTGAGGTAAGTTAGCTTGAGTGCCAAATAGCATTTAGATTCCTTTTAGAAGACATTACGCCATGCTTATTTGTTTTATTAAACAGCTATAGAATTGTAGATGAGGGTACATTGCAAGTGTTTTTACATATGTCACTAAGCATACGTGAAATACAGACATTAAGTGGATGGTAGCCACACTAGGCTAACTTGCCTACCTCTTTGTCCTTGTACCAAACATAGAATAGTGAGGTCTGATCTATGATTGGAACCAGCTCTTCTATTTGTGTTGCAGTCATCTTATCAACCATTTTTTTATCTGACCAGCCAAAGAAAAATTAGCATTACTATACTAAAGGTAAAAGAAGGAGAAAATTATGTTGATTATGTTGGAAAAAGCCATATTTCCAGTACCTTCTGTTTTAATTCTGAGGGTTACTGAAGTAGCCAGATGGCAAATAAAATTATTATAAAACTATTCTTTAAGTACAGAAAGGATTGACACGAGTATGTATCATGAGCCTTGCTGAGAGTAGGTGTTCAGTAATACATTTGTTAAAACATCTGATAGAAAATGATGATGTATGGGGGGTTTGGGGTATATGGAATTCCACTTAATCAGAAATGGGGGAATATAATTGGGGATGTAAACCAACATTCATGCCCTGACCAGGTTTTTCATTTACTATTAGCATCTATTGTATTTATCATCTGGACAACCATGAAGTTCAGGATAGTGACGTGTCAGTCGGTGAGTTATAATATAGCACATACATTTATGAATAGTATACTGTCTTACACACAGTGATGTTGATGATGATGGTAAGGTTCTTATATATGCACCTTATAAGAAATTAGGGCTATTGCCTTCACTCTTAGGGTTATAATACTTCCCTCCTTCTAAGTATTCTGTACTATCATGGTGCTTGGTATGGTAGCTGGTATGGTATGGTAGTTGCTTTTTGTTTTATGACTATATATCCAAATATTGGGAGAGGATTTTGTAAGTGATATTCATAGTCTGTCATGGTCTTGCCTTAAAATCTAGAACAAGAAGTCCAAAGTACTAAACAT